ATAAAACTGAAATACCAAGTTCACAGCAGCCAGACAATGGATCCTATTCTGATCCAGTCTAATCCAGTCCACATCCTACACCACCATATTTATCAAAGTTCTTGTTATGCTTCCATTTATGCGTCTCTCGAAAGGCGTCTCTTCCCTTTAGGTTTGTCCATTAAAATTTTGTTTGCATCTCCCATATCCCCGGACTGGGTCCCATTACAGATTAGAATATCGAGTCTGAATTAATTATTAATAAAGCTATTCTTACGCATTGCGGTGTAATGCATGTTCAGTCAGTGCTAAGAGTTGACAGACATTTAACAATTTCTGAGCTACACAGAGTTTCTCAAGATACCATCCAACCTTCGGTCATTTTGAAAAATCTCTACCAGTCCCCGAGTGAAAGAAACTACCGACATCAGGAAAGTATGCACGTGTTCTATACACTTCCACCCTACGAAGAAACATCTCAAGTGATAGTATTTGCAAGTTTAATAACTAAGCCTATTTCTCAACTATCTTTTTGTCCCATAAAAAAATTAAATTAAATGTTTTAATGGCTATATAATGCCTAACAGTCAATACCTCACGGTGAACATTAAACATATTAAAGCTCTCTGAAACTGTTTAACATCTAAATAACTTATGACATAAATGCGGATATCACCACGATCTGCAATTTTTATTCGGAAACACTTTTATAAATGGGAAACAGTTGCTAACTCTTTGAAATGTGACATCTGTACTGTAATTAACTTTGAAACAATGGATGTTTACAGTGAGTAAATAATAGATTTGTTGCATCTGTGGTTGAAATGACTGAATATGAAGGTTAATGAAACATTCAAAACGGCAAAAATATGATTTTGGAAAACACTACTCCAATATGACATTCAACTATTGTTTTGCTGTCTTAATTTTAACTGCCTTAAATCATTCCGAAGCCTGCCTCACAACTACACCATACAAGACACTTGTGGACTGAATCTATAAACTTCTTTTACTGACATTCTGAACTAGTGCCTAGCAGTAAATGTGAGATTTGATATTTCATGGGTGGCAAATATGTTGGCAATAGTCCTCACCAACAAGACCACACGGTGTCCAAATACAGTTCTGAATGTTCTCGGCATTATAAGTAACCTACTGCACAAAGGAACGAAAAATTGTATTCTGCCATTTCAGTATTGAACCTTTCAAAGCTGATGTTCGTCTAAATAGCATTAAACAAATCGGTCCGTACCGCACAAAATATCTAAATTGTAAAGATCGATACGTTAATGATGTTTGGGAAATAATCACTGTTTTCTGTTAGAATCATAGAAACCCACGAATAAAAAAGGAGTCACTTAACTGTTCAAAAACACAGCACCAATGAGTTTTAACGAGTTAATTCACTTTTCATTTCAGTAACATTTTGTGACGTAAGCTTACATTCAGAAATATGTAGATATGGGATCAGAGTTCGTTAACACCCCTAACTCAGTCCAATTTAATATATTCGGGAAAATTCCTATGAAAACACAAAAAAATTTCCTTAACCTACATAATCCCCTTACCCATCACTGAATTCACATTACAAAAGGTTATTCAGCTAAACATACCTTGTGTCTTCCTTTCTGACCTTCACAACTATTAACCACCTCGTGTTCCTTTTGTTCTTAAATTCGTTTATTTAACGACGCACAAATATGAAAAACTTCTCTAACGCATTAATTCGCTCAAATGTTAGCCCAGACTGAGCAACAGGATAGTTAAAGCCAGGGGCGCCATTTTGATCTGATAACACGAACACAGCCCGTAACTTCGAAGTGTGTCTCCAAGCCCTCTTATTCCAACAACCAACATGTTCTCCCGCACTACTGACAACTCACGTCCAGTACGCCAAAGTGAATAAGATTTTATGTGATTAGGCCAACCGTACAGTAAAATATAAGAGACATGTTTCTTTGATTTTCTTAGCAATTTCCTGACTGGATGATAACTTATTACCCCCTTAATAACAAGCAACAAGGTCAGTAGTGGCGAGTGAACAGACTGTAGTTCCACTCCGTTCGTTGCATATGTTTTTAGTTGCGAATCCTTGTTGTAGATTGTGTTTTGAATCTTGTGAGATTGTCTGCCTGGGAAATTTGTAACGCAAACCTAAACATCCCCTGACATTTTTGAAAAGATGTCACCCAAGCCCGAGATTCGACCACTTTTTCATGGTACACCTGTAGTACCATATAAAATTATCTGAATCCAACACATTAATACATTACTTGTTCATGACGTTTCACTTCAAATCTGAAATTTTAGTAAAATTTACTTTCTTTGTTCTAACAATAAAATGGCGTTTCACAGACGAAGCACCTCGTAGGTGTTGGCTCTCTCACCAGCTACAATTTCGGAGCGATGTTCATAAACAGAGGGTGCTGATATCTGTTGACAATCTGTGAAACTATCGGTATGGCAGTGTTTTGGAAAGGATAGCTTATCTCAGTCACTCATCCAGTGACAGGTTAGTTCAGAAGACTGCTGTCTACTGGGATGTAGCTCCATCGTGATGAAGGAAGCAAGAACCTCTGAACCGGTGGTATACTTCAACAAGGCTACCCGATGCTACAACCCATAAGAACCATCTTCAGACTCACAGCCGTGGAAACCTCAAATACTAAAGAGACTATTTTATTCTAACGAACCCTACACCTGAAGACGATGTCAGATCTAGTCCTCGAAACGTCGTGTAATTTTATAACACCAGTCGATGGACAAAATCCAAAAACCCAACATTTCAGATACCAGAAGGCTAATTACTATGTAGCACATCGCATAATATATAGTTGGAGGATCACCTAAAATGTCGAGGCGACGTATTATAGGAGAACCAAATTCGGAAAATCCACAACACGAAACAAAATTAGGAAACGTACGCATGGCAGAGCAATTCTGGCGTGTTCGGTTTGTGCGTAGAAGATTTTCAATTTGTGAAAGTAAACTTTCGATGTCGTATAAATAATGCAAAACAGGTAGACCGAACAAGTACAGACCTTCGATATAAAATGTTAATGCCAGTCCAACAACTTACTTGTCATAAAACAACATAATAATCATTTTCTTTGATTATTTTTAAAAGCCTAAGACTTATGTAAAAGGTATACCATAAATGAAACATATGTTCCATTTTTCTCTACTTTTGTTCAAAACCCTTTTTGCTTCGATAAATATTTTGCGAGTTACGGCCGAGAAGCGCACAGAAACTCGTACAATTCCTCTTGCAAAACGTCCGTAACTGCTGTTCGATCTGAACGAAAATCAAAATTTACTGGCAAACGTTTGTAAAACTCCACAATAATAAATGCCATGAAAATCCGTTAATCGGTTCTCGGGTTCTTGCATGCGATACGTGCCAAACATCGCTATAATAACTGAACAGCACGGTGTAAGAACCGATCAGTGTCTGCGGTTATTAATTCCCCACTGTTGACTAAACCAACGCCACTGGTGCTCTCCTTACACAGCTAGAGCCTGTTTTGAAGTTGCAAGCCCGGTCATCGAAAACGTCTATACCGTGCCGTTCTGATTTCTTCGGACTGCGAATTTCCAGCTTACGGAAGAAACCTCAGAACGCTTAATATACACAAACGTGCGTGTGATGTACTGTTTTTCTATATAACAAACTTTGTAATTAATTACTCTGAGGGGTTGGTTTCGATGCTTGGCAGTAATGATTTTTTTAAAAAAAAGGGTGTACTACGTAGAACAGAAACAGCTGGAGGGATAGATAAAACAGGCACTGCAGAGCCAATTTTCCACTTGTAGTAATCCAAACATCCACACTGAAACACACTTCGCTTCTTGAATAAATAACGCCAATAGTTCACGCATTCTAAACCACAATACGACTTTTTAACTATACTACAACACACAAAGAAATCCCCCCCCCCCCCCCCGAGAGTTTAATCAAACGAATTTAAACGTTTCTGTACGCATTTATTCCTCTGTTTCTGGCCACAATATCTTCCTAAAGTCTTCACGTTGTTTTACACTTCACTTCTGCGTCTATAAACCAAGCACCAATTGTAGATAGAATATACAGAGGCGGGTCTATTTGATTTTGATTGCGTAAAGCCTATTGACAAAGGAAAATATGGAAAAGAATCAGTTAAACAAGGAGGAGAGACTATAACCATAATCAAATGCAAAAAAAAACATTAAGCCACAAATTGAAACAACGACCTACCTATACGCGTACAAAATACAAACAAAATAAATATACCTCTAGCAACGACAGAATGAGCAGACCATCCATAAATCTACAGCTGTAGTACAAGGCACCTAATTGTTTCGACAAATGCGCACAAATAGTAGTAGAAAAAAATACTTTTTCTTAACACAGAAGCACGGCCTAAGAATTCACTTAAAACTAGCGACACTGGATGTACGTTACTCTAAAAAGCTTCCTTTTTCAAATTAAAAATAAAAATTCTCGATCAAAGCGCACGTTCAAGAATCACATGCACTTTCCATCCTTATCGCACAGTCCACGAAACCATTTGAGATACTTATGTAAACACTATTAGGACCAGTCGTGTTGAACTCGCGGCAAATTGGTCAGGGATCCATGTTAGATGAAGTGTTGTAGCATTAGGAGTACAGTAACCACAAAAAAATGCCGACACCAAGTTTCCCTATCTGAGTATGAATTGTAATGCGACATAAAGGAAGGAAAACCTCTCAGGAAATATTTAAACCTATAAATGAATTATTTTTCGGTTGACACTGAAATAATTTCTATTGTAGACACTATTCTTATTTGTAAAAATAAATTATAGGGACACTTTTCCGTATAGAACTGCTATAAGGATAATAATATGAAATATTCCACGAGTCACAATAAATCATTTAAAAACGTATACGTTTAAACTTGGTTTAAAATAACTTTCCATCACTGTAACACTGTTGCGCCTAAAATTCATTATCCAACTTTTTTTTTTCGAAAATCATTCACACAACTATTTGATTCTTACCACTTTCAATATCAGCACATTCTCGCGATATGTTTAAAATACCTTTTTTTTCCAATCACTCCGCAGCAAAGAACTGTACCGTAAACAACGCCACACATGCGAAATACTTCGCGAGTCCGGAACAAACACTTCTTGACTCCACAGTCACATGAACATAATTACATTCCGACCCGACTGCGTCTACCAAAACGAGACATCCAAACCGTAATAACGTGCAGACTTGCACTTCTCTCTTACTGACTGAACAGGAGATACACAGATTAACGCGTCCTCTCCTCCCGCGTTCACACATCAGACTGCAGCCCTGATCGTCTCGTAACGCGAGTAGCTACTGCTCGCCTGCTAGCACAGACGTCGGAGATACCAAGGTACCAACCGACGCTCTGAATCGACGCGGCGGCGTCCCGGTAAAATTCAACCCTGGCGACCTCGGGACCATTCGGTGTGGTTCGTACCACCAACCACCGCAGCGAGTGAACAGAGAGGGGTGGAGGAGGACGGGGCAGATTTGTTGAAGCCTTATTCTTCTTCTCCTTCCTGCGAGAGCGGTCCCATGACCTCAGGACTGGAATCATATCAACACTCGGCGTTGTTCGCTCCAGTGAAACTGTACAGACCTGTAGAAAGAAATCTCTGGTACCACGAGGGCGTTTTGCTGTCTTTATCTGCAGCGTACGCTTACACGAATACTGTTGAGAAGGGCTTGAATAGTGAGGAAAATAATAAACATTATAAGGTGATTTTACCAAAGAGGATGAGATATGTAGCAGTAATGGATTCCCAATAAATATTTTAATTTAAAGCAGGAAGGAAAGACATTTTGGGGTTGATGTGGGGATGAAATGGATCTTGATTAATAAGGTGCATGGCTGTGAAGTGGATTCAGCGGACCGGCTTTTGTGACCACGATAATGAGCTTTTGAGTTCCATACAAGGAAGGAAATTTCTTGAACAATCTGAGGAATGGCCCAGTTCTGTAGAGTAACTGCATGCATTTTCTGCTGGGAAGAGAGATGCACTTAACTTTGTCAGTGAACATATTTTGAACACAAAGGTAATCGAAGAACAGAGTGGTTATTGGCCTTGGTCACCTTAGGAAAAGGTAATTTCCAAAATTATTAAAGGAGCCCCAAGAAAAAGTTGTTTTAACATAAGACCTGAGTAAGAGACACTATCCGAACAACAAGGAAATAACCATCATTTCATTATCGCACTGCAGATAGCACAGAGCTAGAAAATTGAAATGCCAGATGATAAACTTCCACGGAAAGTAATTGGATGCCAGACAAAGAGGATAATGGGAATCACTTTGCAAAGCCTGTGCAGGAAGAAAAGTGACTTCATTTCACGACAACAGAATTACCAAGTTAAACAAACACTAGCACACTCAAGCTCAAGCAGGTTATATACTACAGCTGAAACAAAGCAAGTTAGGTTTCAAAATCATGATCGGCCTTCCTGTAATTGCAGCACAAACACTAGGCCTACGATCGAAGGTGTGTGGCGCACATACACCGTGGAATGACATTCCGGCGTCTGCTTCACGTTTGAAGTAACTCAATAATTTTTACACCAACTTTGAGGACACCTGTGTAACACCTGGAGTATACCACTTCCATTCTTCATATTCTAATACCAGTTGTATATCTAATGCCGAATACCGACAATTTGCTTCACATACACAACATTCGACAATCGACAGTTCTTTTAGAGGGAGCGCACACAAGTTATAGAAGCTGGGGCCACGTGACTAGTTACTCAGCAGCGTCTAAAATCACTCCGCCAGCGATCGCATGTTGCGCCATCCTAACTGCTGTGCTGTAATGTCCCACAATGCCATTACGTAACCTTCGTCCTAGGTACAATCTTCCTGCAAACTGAGTCATGCGCCTCAGTATAACATTCCATTTGATCTAATAACAAACACAAGACGCAATAAACTAAAATGCACTGCTATAATGATCAGACACTTCCCGATTGAGGCTGTCCACGAAGCAGAATTTGCCCGTACTGATGACATCCACGTCATCCGCGTGAGTCTGGCGTACAAGGGACCATTCATAACACCAGCTTTCATTAAAAAAAACAAATGACCGAGCAAATACGTCGGCCCAGCACAATATAAAAGCAGCCTGTTTCATTTACTAAACCTATTTCAAATGGTTGGGTTCAGTGTTTTTTTAAACCAGTCTTGGGTAATTAAACACGCATGCGTAAGCTCGTGATTCAATGATAATGTCAAATTTTGATAACTGCTTGTGTAATCACTTCGCTGGTAAGACTTTTGTGTATTGATCCGTTCAAAAAAAATCGTTGAAACTGCTGTGTACTCTATAGAGTACACCTTTCCAGTCTTGTTAATTATGCTACGACAATATTTTGTATGACGAATTAAGAGCAAGTTTTCCACGTCTGAACAATTACGCTGGATGGACTTAATTTTTTTACGGATCTACCCCGGGCAGTTAGGCTGTCGTCGGTCATATGTAATATGAATAGACCTAATTCGTTGTTAGAAATCCTCCATCCGCTTATGTCACGCTCGATACTGATAACGCTATTTTATACCCGCAATAATGTGATTAACTTGAAGTCACGGATGTATGGACTGATGTCAACGTACGGACACGGATATGGAGGCATTTCGAAAAAAAAAAGACATCAGGTCTGACTGATTACGTGACCGACAGCTAAAAATTTGCATAAATTGTACATTAAAATAAATATTTCCTTCTCGAAAAAGAATTTCACACCATTTTCACCAAATTATACTTCCATATTTATACTTGTCTTCAGTAAAATACTAGATTTTATATACACGGATATTTCTGAAATACACAGGAGCGTGTTTCCCCCCCCCCCCAAAAAAAAAAATTCTTTATTTCAACGTTCCAGATCACTGTTTTGACAAAAATAATACTCAAAATATTGTTCATTAAGGACTGTCGCACGTGCCAAGCATACCAGACGCGTTATAAATTAACTCGCATCCGACTTCTACCTTCAATTACAACCCCGCTACATCGTTAAATCCCATAGCACTCACAACACTTTTAAGATGGCCCCACGGTTTAAGATGTTACGGGCTTAAGTAAACTGATTTTCCGGGCCATAGCTCGAAATAAAAGTGTCCAAGGGCCCATGTTTAACGTAAACATTTCGTTATTTCTGTGCACAGAACACGCCCCTGAAATCATACCGTGTATTTCAGAAAAAAAACCCTGAATATTAGTTAATGAGCTCTGGTGTGAATTATGCAAGCGAAACACTCTTAACCTATTTTAATGTAATACTGAGATTATAGTGTATAAACCTGGACACTATTAAATTTCAATAATTCTCGACTCTATAATACGTTCCAACTCCTTTCATCGAAAATTGAACAGCACGAAAAAATAAATTAGACGAAATAATATAATGAAGCATGCAGAAAAACAAATATATATAGAAGGAAATCATAATGGTTTTACAATTCGGTTTAGAACCGTTTCAGTATCGTTTAGCTACTAGTTACAAACCGTAATATTAATACAAACAAAACGTTTAACGTACCCCATGGTTTGTATGGGTGTAAAATTTAGCTTCTCACCTTAACGTCAAACAGAGACTGAAAACATTCAAACCTAAGAAAGCGGAATCAAAAGAAGTGCCAATTTATGATTGAGGCCTACAATTTTCTCTTCGCTGATCATAATCTGGATGATCAAATCAAACACGAGAAGGAAGGGACACTTAGCATGCATGGTGTACATGATAAGTTAAGGTCTACATACAAAATATTAGTTGGAAAACGTAAAAAAAAAATACTTGGGGGACTTAGGTGCGCCTCTTACGACAATATTAAACGTGTTCTAAAAAAATATGGTGTGAGGGCATGACTAAATTCATATGGCTCATGGTAGTGGCCAGTGGTGAGATTTTGTGAACACGGCAATGGACCATCCATACTAGATAGTGCATTTCTTGAGTGGCTGCGCAACTATCAGATTATCAAGAAGAATTCTGTTCCATGGAGATAATTCACAGTCACTGTTAGAAGCTGAACATATTTTTCATTCTTCCCGTGACACTGTCTCTAACAGCATTCGTTCGTCCTACGCATGACAAAATATGTGATGGATAACAATGAATTGTGGCTTGAGGTCCACGCAGTTACAACCGTACAGACAAACAAGCACAGGTATAATGCAATTAGAGAACATCAAATGTTTAGAGTGGGTTGACATATTCACCCCCGCCCATCAAACACATCTCCAATATGTTTCAGACACGTTTTAATTTTCGAGTTCGATTCTTATCGATTGTCATGTGGTTACAACGCAGTTTATTCGCTGTTGTGTTTCACATCAACCACAGACATACAGCCGAGTTATACTTTGATAATACACAGTGATATCTGCTTCCACTATTTTTAATCTGTACCCTGAAAGTGAAAACAGCAATTTTAGCCTCTCAATACCACAAAGTCCTACACAGTAAAATGTACGAGGCGCGTCCACAAAGTAAGTTTCCCACTCGTCCCACAACACGGCTCGACGGACAGCCAGTCTCCTGCAGGAGTTCAGCTGGGAGGTGTTTAATCATTCACCCTACAGCCCGGATCTCGCTCCCAGTGATTTCCATCTTTTCCTACACCTCAAGAAATTCCTGTCCGGTCAGTGTCAGCGTTTTGAGAATGACAGAGAGGCGGAGATGGTTGTCACACAGTGGTTCCAATCCCAGGCGGCAGACTTCTACGACACAGGTATTCAAAAGTTGGTCCCACGGTATGACAAATGTCTCAATTCCGGTGGCGAATATGTTGAAAAATAGCTGGACACTTGCTGTATCTGTTGCAATAAATATTTCCATGAAATTGTGTTTTGTTTCTGTAAACGGCCCCAGGGAAACTTACTTTGTGGACGAGCCTCGTATTTCATAATAAGTCTAAATATCTGCAAGGTAAAGGATCTTTTTGGGCAGTTAATGGTATCTCAGCTGATAAACAAATTCTTTGGATTTATGAAATCAAAAGCTTCGTCGCCATATTCACACTACCAAATTACTAGGCCGGATATATTTATTCTGAGCCAGTCCAATCCGGTCCACATCATCACACACTTCTTAAGAAACATTTTAATATTATCCTTTCATCTACGTAAGTAGTACTGTACCTTATCCTTAACATTCACCACAATTTCCAGGTCAAAAATATGGCATGCCACTGAATCAAGAGTATTAATATATTTATACTTTTACGACTTATCATTTCGTAATTTGCAAGTTCTCATATTAGAACAAAACAACATAAACAAGTTATTTCTAGTATAAGCGAGTCCTTTGTCCTTGTTTAACCCCAGCCAGTTTGTTAACAT